GCAACTGTGTATTGTCACGTGTGGAGATGATAGAGTGATTAAGGTGAGCTGTAAGACTTGATGTGGTTTCATACTTGGAAGAGATTTGGGGTCCCTGGTTATAACCATCTGTGCAACAGGTATGGGATGCTGTAGCCGGACGCAGACAGTATACATTTGAAGGCCATGAAGCTCCTGTGTATTCAGTGTGCCCTCACTACAAAGAAAATATCCAGGTATGTATCTAAGTATCTTTATAAGCTCATTAGGGAGTTTGTTCTAATTTGTCTTTTCAGATAAGCTCCCATCCTCCTGACCTAGTATAGAACATTGCCATTTTTCGTTGTGGCAGTTCATTTTTTCAACTGCCATTGACGGGAAGATTAAAGCTTGGCTATATGATTGCTTGGGATCACGAGTGGACTATGATGCTCCTGGACTTTGGTGCACTATGATGTTGTATAGTGCAGATGGAACCAGGTAAAATTTGTGCTCCATTGTATATTTGTCCGTTGCAGATTATAGTTTGACATTAAATTATTGGATTAATGTATCTGCACGGAAGCTTTTTCATTACTAATGATGTGAGCTTTATTGGATGAAAAATACAGCTATTTTCCCAGCTCCCCCCTTCAGCCCTCCTCGTCTTTTTTTTTCTTTTCTGGAAATTTCAATTTAAATTGTAAGCCATTAATTATATGTCCCAAATGCATACGTATACATAATGAAGATACATATGGTGCATGCAGACTCTTTTCCTGTGGAACAAGTAAAGACGGTGAATCCCATCTGGTGGAGTGGAATGAGAGTGAAGGGGCTATCAAACGGACATATTCTGGTTTTAGAAAACGCTGTTTAGATGTTGTTCAGTTTGACACAACAAGGAACCGATTCTTAGCTGCTGGTGATGAATTTCAAATTAAGTTCTGGGATATGGACAATACCAATGTGTTGGCAGCTGTGGATGCAGATGGCGGTTTGCCTGTCAGTAGCACTCTCTATACATTTCATCAATACCATTCAACTTGAAGAGTGAATAAGTCACATTAAATGTTTTGCCCTTCTAATTTTTGCAGGCTAGTCCTAGGCTGAGATTCAATAAAGAAGGGTCACTGTTGGCTGTAACAACGAATGACAGTGGTATTAAGATTTTAGCAAATAATGATGGCTTGCGCTTGATTAGAATGTTAGAGGGAAGGGCTATGGAGAAAAATCGAGGCACTTCTGAGCCCATCAACTCTAAGGTAGGTTTTCTTCTGTGGTGCTTAAGTCCATATTTGCAAAATGCTTGCTGACATTATTTGTTTTTTGTCTGATTAGTTATCAATAGTTATATTTCTACTTTGCCATCGAGATTCTCATGTCAAGTTTTATTGCTTGCCTTTTGTTAATTTTCTTCTAGCAGCCTCTGATGGTTAATGCAATAGGTGCCATTGTGAATGTTCCCAACGCTGTTGTTCCATCCCTGGAACGCCCTGATAGAATACAACCAGTTGTGTCTATCAGTAATCTAGTAAGTTTAAGTTATATGGAATTATTTAAGCTCTTTATGTTTGTTGGTTTATGTTGGTTTTTCACTGCAGGGCACTATGGAGAACAGCAGGCTTGTTGATGTTAAACCACGGATTTCTGATGATATAGACAAAATTAAGAGCTGGAAATTTTCTGATGTTGCGGATCCCTCTCAAATGAAAGCTCTGCGACTGCCCGACTCTACAACTGCTGGAAAGGTATAGATGATGGACCTTGGATGAGTTTATATATGTCTCGTGTCTGTGGGGGAGTATAAAACCTAGCAGCAATAACAAGAGAGGATCTTGCCAATTCTGATTAACAGAAAACCCTAATTTTACGTTTTTTAAACCCAAAATAAAGCAGATTTTATCTGGTTAGTGAACATACTTTTGTTCGTTTTGTCTCTAAAACTGGTGCCAATTAATCAACAGATACGTATGTACTGTCGTGAGCTAGATTGTTTACTTTTGCTAGGTAGATTCCACAATACCATAATTGAAGAAATTATTTTACAGTTGCAGATTGTCAGACTAATTTACACCAACAATGGCCTGGCTCTGTTAGCCCTTGCCTCCAATGCTGTTCACAAGCTCTGGAAATGGCAGCGGAATGAAAGGAATCCATCCGGGAAGGTCTGGCTTCTTTTTTTTCCTCAAGTGAATCTGTACCTTTGGTGCATCTTATGTGTTTCTTATAAATTTCTATCATGCAGTTTTGTTTTGTTTATGCTTTTCTATTAAAAAAATTTCAGGCTAGTGCATACGTTGCACCACAGTTGTGGCAGCCACCCAATGGAACTCTTATGACTAATGATGTAAATGACAATAAACCAGCTGAGGAATCTATTGCGTGCATTGCTTTATCCAAAAATGATTCTTACGTCATGTCTGCATCTGGTGGAAAGGTCTCTTTGTTCAACATGATGACATTTAAGGTACGTTATTGATGCCGTCTTTTAGAACCATGTACAAAGGTTTACACCACATTTTTTGTGTTTGTGCCTTCTCGTTCTATTGATTTTTAGTCTGGCTTCACATACAGGGCTGATTCCCTTACCGACATAGCCATTCTTACATATCACAATCTGTTTAATTTATCTTGTTGACTGAATCCACCTGGTAACTGCTTTGCAGGTCATGACAACATTTGTATCTCCCCCTCCCGCTGCCACTTTTTTGGCATTTCATCCTCAAGACAATAATATAATTGCAATTGGCATGGAGGATTCTACTATATTAATTTATAATGTTAGGGTTGATGAGGTAAAGCATCTTCCTTGGTTTTCTTTGGAATTGTTGCTTGATGGCTTTTAGCTTTAGCTCGGTTGTCCGGTTATCTGAAAAGCTAAACCTTGGATGAGATTTTCAGGTCAAAACCAAACTGAAAGGTCACCAGAATCGGATTACAGGCCTTGCATTTTCCCAAATTCTTAATGTACTGGTATCTTCAGGTGCTGATACCCAGGTGAGTGACTGGTTAAAGTTTTTATTTCTATGACAAGCATGGCAGTTATTTCCGAACCTCAAAAGGAACATTGAGGTTGCTGCTCATTTATTTGTTTTCGTGTGACTAGTTGGCTTTTTTGTGGGGTGGGGGGAGGTGAATGTTACGCCTTAATTAAAGGGCAAGGATAAATATGGATGGAGGTGTTTCACACACTTACAGATAGAGTATTGGTATCCGACGACTGAATACAACGTTTGGATCATTATGATGAGCCACTGCTCTAACTGGAAAATATTAGGCACACTATTAATTCTCTTATTTAATTGCAATTATTTTATTTTTGAGTCCATAGATTCTAATTGCATGAGAGTTTTATTTGTACCGCGATTACAGTTATGTGTGTGGAGCATTGATGGATGGGAGAAAAAGAAAACAAGGTTCATACAAGCACCAGCTGGTCGTCAACCCCCGATGGTTGGAGAAACAAAAGTTCAGTTTCATAATGATCACACACACCTGTTGGTTGCCCATGAAAGCCAAGTTGCTGTGTACGATTGCAAGCTTGAATGTTTGCGCTCAGTAAGTTTTCACCTGGCAGTCCTTGTGTCATAGTTTCTCATTAATTTTTCTGCTTCGCAGATCGATATGCAAGAAACTTGATTTCCATTTTTTAATTAACTTTTCCTTCCTTTATTGTAATTTGACTTTTCTTCACCTCTGTGATGATAGTGGTCTCCGAAAGATGCACTCGCTGCTCCCATATCAAGTGCAATATATTCATGTGATGGTCTACTGGTTTATGCTTCATTTTGTGACGGTGCTGTTGGAGTTTTTGATGCTGATACCTTAAGACTCAGATGTCGAGTAGCACCTACTGCTTATATACCATCATTTTCTCTCAGGTGAGCCGAAAATAGTATTATGCTGTTTGTTGAATCGAAACCTTTGTTCTTTTATTTGTAAATTCACTTGCTATTTGCTGATGGAAAATCATCTGCAGCGGAAACCCCAGCTACCCTTTGGTTATAGCAGCTCATCCATCTGAGCCGAATCAGATTGCACTTGGCATGACTGACGGCTCAGTGCATGTAGTTGAACCGTCTGATGTAGAGCTGAAGTGGGGTGGGGCGCCCCCTCTAGAGAATGGCCCTTCCAATTCGTCAAATCCCTCTCCTAGCGGTCAAGCATCTGAACATCCTTCCCGGTGATGGTGACATCGATGAAACTGTCACCAAAGAAACGTTTCGCCGAGACTAAGAGTCGACAGAAGAAACTTCGTGGTGCATTTTCAGGGATTTTAGTTAGTATCTTTTCCAATTTTTTTGTTAATTCGAGCCATAGCTTTGGATAACGGCTGCTTATTATTGTATGTAAATCTTTTATGTTTGTTTTGTCGAATGAAGTTGTAGGGGAAGTGAATCTCTGTATATTGTTGTCGTCACAATGTGTTGGAAGACATCATGAAAAGGCCAATTTGCCTTCCGGCAGTTTTACCTTGTTTTATTCAACGTTGGAAAGGAATGCACAGGTTTTGTAGAAAAGGGTTTTTGAGAGCTCTTAAAATACATGCTCGTCATTCTATTAATCGCTATCCCATAACAAATTTGGCTTATTCAAGTTGAATAGAATAATGTGCTTCTATTTCTGCACTCAAGTTCAAATCTCTTTTCCTGTTGTTTAAGGGAAAAAAATTACCTTTTAAGAAAAAGGTTTTTGAGGTATCTTAAATTACTGCAAGATATGGTATTTTTTTTTCATATGGATTCTTTAATCCATATATTATGCGTCACCCACTACATTTGGCGTCAATCCAACAATTCCATGGAGAAAGAGTAAACCTAATTAATTTTCAAAGGTACAAAACTTATATGCGATAAGAATTTTATAATAACACTATTTTAAGCAGTCACTTCTTAACATTTTGATCGAATTACTTATAACATTACGTAATTAACTTAAAATATCGTTTTGATCGAATTACTTATAACATTACGTAATTAACTTAAAATATCGTGACAGTAATTGGTATGTCAGGCCCAAGTCACCATAGGCCTCCATGAGCATTGCCCAGCCGCAGCCGCAGTTGTTGGTCACGTGACAACACTACTGGCAACCTCGCAGGGACCATTCCCGTTCAACACATCGGACTTGCTACCACCACTCTGTCTCCCCTCCTACTCTCTCTCTGTCTAAACGGCGATTCGATTTGATCCGGTTCGGTTGGGCTCTTAGCAAAACCCAAAGCTTGGTAAGTCCTGCTCATCTCTATCTCAATCTTTTCTTTCCTGTTTGGTTGCCGGGAAAACGCCCCGCCGTGAAAAGATGTAAGACTTCAGTCCTCTTTTTTGTTTTTTATTTTTAGGTGCTGTAAACTACAGAATTTGTGCGAGTAAGTGTTTTCTGATTTACCTGGCCAAGCCTTGCTCGATTTTTCTCGGCAACCAAACAGAGTGCGAGAGCATAAAGTTTCAAAATTTACTTGATGTAGCATTTTTATTTTTCCTTGTGCAAGTTATTACAAGTTTCAAGTTACTGGAATTCAAATTTTGTGTTAAAATTGAGAAATTTAAGTGAATTTAATTTTTCAGATGAGAAATGGTTTTTATTTTTATTTTTATCATGAATTGTAGGTTAAGAGGGCTCTAAATGGAGATGCCATCAAATGAAAATTCACAGCCCTCAATGAATTCTACCGGTGATGCTGATCATCAACAGGAGGCCATGCTTCCCGACGGCGTAGATAATCTGTAAATTCTTCTTTCCCTATACGTTTTAATACATACTTCTTATCTAATTTTGAATTTCAAGTTGGTTTGCAAGGCGCTTGTAGCTTAACATATTATACCACAGCGAAAGCACACGTTGTATGTTTTCTATACACTACAGGGCCTTATTGATGCTCTTCATTTATAACAGAATACAATGTGCTATTGACCCCGAGGGACGTTTTAAGGATCAGAGAACCTTCACATTCACGGAGTGAGGGATCATGCTACTTTTCATATAGACAGCATAGTATATTTATCCAGTCTAGTAGAAATTCAATTGTTAAGAGATCTAGTCAGTATGCATTTTTAGTAACTTCCATCATTTCGGGATCAGTAATTGTTTTCCCCTATAATTGAGACGATGTTAAGAAAATTTACTTTTTCACGTCATATTAAGGGCTCAAAAGTCTTCTTTCCGCAATTTATGTTACTCATTTGTTTTGTTTTTGATTCATATTAAGAAAGTATTGTTGAACTTGATATTTTAGATGTAAAGAGTCGAAGCTGGAGGTTTCTGAAGTTAGAGGCGTACTACAAGTTATTGCATCCACTGGGAAATTTTGGTAAGCTGTCATCTTCAATTTGTAACTCCCTCGTCTGTGTTTAGTGTATTGGTATATTAGTTTTGGTGCATGTCATGTATGTGTATTTGATTGTGTTTGCTCTCTGGTATGATGCACAAAAAACAAAAATTCTGCTTGGTAGTTAACTGTTCTTGTTATTCATGTGTTACAGGCAGGATTGGGACAAATTAAAGAGCATGCTATCCTTTCAACTGAAGCAGGTATGGGAAGGTATGCCAGCATGTGGGGCCTTCAGCTATTTATGGTTGTCATTGTATGCATGTTTGCACGTGCACACACACACACTCTCTTAGACTTAGTGGATGTGCATGATTGCTTTCTGGTTCCCCGTTTATGATATGTGTATCTTTCTCTCTCTTTCCACCTCTCTATCGCTCTTATTCTTTGATTTGTGAAGGTTCTATTGGAGTATCCTGAGGAAGAAATGACAAGTGAGCAGCAAATTGCTTCTTTAGGAGAAACCTATCCTGAGCTGGTGAAGAGGTTGGATGAAGGTATTCTCATTTGCCCGATCATGTAACTTGATTGGTGGGTCATTATATGTGTTACTGCCTTTTGGTATTCGGTGAGATCAGTGTGATCTAAAACCAAGTTTTGATGAAAAATGGGTGGGATGATGTACTTGGACTAGTCTATGGTGTTACAGTTATAATTTTATAGAATTTTCAGTTCCTTTTTTCAATGATAATTGCTTATAGTTTGCTTCTTCATTGCAGCTCTTCATAATTTTACCGAAGGTCCTCCGTTTACCCTTCAGAGGCTTTGCGAGGTGTGCATTCTTACATCTCTTTGTTTGACACTTTTCGAGCTCTGGGATTATTGAATTAGTTGGGTTGAATTTGTCTGATCTTTTCTAAAACTGCTACTACTCTCTCGCCCCTCTTTTCACTCTACTGCGCTGTTAGCATACCTTTAGCAAGTGCTTGCACATATTTTTGTGTTTGATATGTTTAACATACTACCATTCCTTTGCTATGTTACAATATACATCTCTTTACCAGATCTTTTTTTTTTCGGTGAATTTTTTTCAAACAGATCCTATTGGATGCAAAAAGAATCTATCCAAATCTCTCAAAGCTTGCTCTTGCATTAGAAAAGGTATATTATTCAAAAACCTGATGGAAATGTTTTCCTTGATTACTGATATTCTTTTTATCTGACAATTTCTCTCTTTTAAGTTAATCTTTGCCACCTTAATTTAACTAATATTGAAGGATATAAAAGCTACAACTTGTGTATTAGTTTTCTTGAAACTTTTGATTTGTGGCGTTACAACTAGCATTCTCTTGCTTGTAGAATCTATTGGTGACATCTATGCTGACAGCCTCAACGGATCCATATCCACAATCCACGGTGCAAAATTCAGTTGAACCAGACAAAGCAATTGAAGAAGCTAAAATTCACTCTGATTCAGTAGCGCAAAATGGGGTGGAACCTATGGTAAGTGGCGATAGGGATGAAGTTATGTCAGAGGTAGTGCAAGCTGATATCGATAATGACATGACCATCGCGATGGAAGCTTTTGAAGATATAGTGGGATCATCAGACGCAAATTCAGTGCAGACGTATGATTCTTAGTTTTCCGGCGATGTAGTTGAGAGCTCATCAGTTCCGGCTTTACCTGATGTAGTTAGCAGTAACACTTTTTCTGATGCTTTGTTTTAACGCATTTGTTCAGCAACTTTATATTGCCCACTTGTGCAATGCCTTCGCTGTTGAGACATGCATGCGGTAAGGCAAAGAGAATTATCTTTAACTATTGATTTAACGTAATTTTTCGTGAAAATTGTTTGTGCGCGCATTTAGAAACATGTCTTTGAGCCTTTTGGAAGTGAAAAATGGAAAAATCAACACGATTCAAATAGCGGGTTTGCCCGATAACATTTTGTTACTGAATCCAAATAGGCCTGTGTGGGACGCGAATGCAAAGGGACGCAAGTGTGCTTCTTGGACGGACAGATGACGTAACACGAGCAATCATACCCATTAATCCATCAAAAAGTAGGCACCTGCGGACTTGAGGTCGAGCATCATCAATCATCTACAAATATGCAAAACAATATTTTTCAAGGGGCAAAATCCAAATCTTACATAGTAGCAGCAAATACTCATCGATTGCACAACCTGGCGATTTGGAATATACATCGGAATAGGTTACATGTCTGAATGTCAAAGCAAGTCCAGGAGGAAGCACTGACTAAACTCTCAAAAAGAAGGGGGGAAAAGTTGATAACACTCCAGGGACTTTTGGATTGAACCAATGACCAACTCTCCAGCTCGTCGTCAATTTTGATTGACAGACCCAAGAATCCTAATAAACCTGCGGAAATACAAGGAATAAACATTTAATTGAGGACTTGTTGAGGACTTGGCTTGCCAACTAAGCTGGTAAAACATTAATAAGAAAAGCACCAACCTCAACTGTTAGAATGACGAGGTGCCCACTGAAGAGTATCCAGCAGCTCTCATCTCTTTCAGCGTGCTAGATAACCAATCCAAGCCTTCGTAAAGGCCATCACCTCTAAGGGCACAAGTCCCTTGTATGTGCCATTTTCTGTTCTTGAGATCATAGAGGCCTAGTCCTTCACACACTTCCATTGGCGACATGGCTCCTTTCTGGATAGGAAAACAAAAATTAAATAACTCAAACCAAGTTTCCAAGAAGGAACCAACAATTCAGAATCATGTGCACTCTGGACTGCTAACTTGCTGACAAGAAATAAGTACATGACCTCTGACGGGATCAGTAAGCCTACTGCCCAGAGTCTAAATTACGTTTGTTATGTTGGTACGTAAGCTGATTAAACTACTATGAAAAGCAAAGCATTATCACCCGTGAGTTTCAAGTCGCGTGAGTGGGATGGAACGAAGGGGTAGGTCTGGGGTTTAGTTACCCTTGTGACCGAAAGTTTTGGCCACCTCCAAAAGCAAATGAAAAAGGCTGGATGTAAATACTATTGTTTTTTCAATAGGTAGATTGTAATTTAAGCACTCTAATTTGGGACCTCAATTGAGGTTAACATCTCATGCATCTAGAATAATTGTAGCCCAAATCCCAAATTCCTAGCACAAATAATTGTAGAATACAGAAGAAAGGCCATAATCCACTGTCCCATCTCTAACTTGGAGACCAAATAGTCACACCCCTTGCACAAATAACTTGCACATTCTTATGTTCGTAGAAATCATGAACTTTACATCATCATGCAATATGCAGATAAACGAACACTACGACATACCATATCCTGTTTATTAGCAAACACCAAGATGACACTGTTGCGCATAAATGGATCACTGATGATGGCCTGAAAAGAAGAAAGATAAGTGAGAAACAAATAGGCGCACTTGTATTTAAACTGTACCGCATCGCTGAGCATACAACCTGAAATTCTGCCTTTGCTCTTCCAATTCTCTCTCTGTCCAAGGAATCAACAACGTAAATCTGTACATGGAAAATAAACATGTTAAGGATATCTAGAACCTTCTATCCATTGACCTATTACAAAGCTGAGAAAGGTGAACCGGGACAACTGACTAGCAATATTCAAGAACCATGATCCAGTAGAAGAAGACCAGAGAAAGCTCCATTACCAGTCCGTCCGTGTTATTAAAGTAATGCCTCCAGAGTGGCCTTAGTTTCTCTTGTCCACCGACATCCCAAACAGTGAACATCACATTCTTGTATTGAACTTTCTCCACATTGAAACCTGTTGAGACAAAGAAGAAATTCCTTAACCGAAAAATCTAAATCACAACCACTGATGCATATTACATAGGTGAGAACTCCCCAACATCAAAAGCCCGATGTATCAAGAAGTCTGATACTAGCGATCAGAGAAACAACCCACCTATTGTAGGAACAGTTGACAAAACTTCTCCAATGTGCAGCTTGTAAAGGATGGTTGTTTTACCAGCTGCGTCGAGGCCGAGCATTACAACCTATGCCACCGTGCAAATATGAAAAGCGGGTCAGCGTAATGCTAATCACCGACTAAACATAATCAAATGGAGGCAATGAAAATCAAACCCGAAATTGATGATTTAGCATACAATGAACGCACACTTACACAAGCCGTAATTGATGCACCTTTATAGGAATACAAACATGTACAATTAAGCAAGTGGCCCTTTAGCACAGTGGTGGAAAGATGTTGAGCCGTTGCATGCAGTGGTTGCATGCAGTGGTGGAAAGGTGTTGAGCCGTTGCATGACGGCGTGGATTCAAACCCGTTGGTAGCTAATCTAATATCTAATCTAACAAAATTTATCGTTTGACCAAAAAAAAAAATGTACAATTAATCGGGCGAGGGTATGGTATTAATGTGATCGTAGAATATTATCTAATCATGAATAATTTAAGAAATATAGCGCCAATAAATTCCTAAATGAATATGTTTATCTAATTAATGACGGCATCAACTACTCTGATCGAAGAATTGACCTAGCAAACAAAAAAACCATTACTGTATGAACCCTAGATATCCCTAATCCCTGCACAGATATAATTATCAAACTACCAAAAAACGGTAGGAAAACAGAACAAAAAAAGCTACAAAAATCGGACGAAATACAAAAGAATATATAAAATGAAAAGAGAAAAAAGAGTGAAATAGCGAAAGAGAGAGGGAGTACTCGCATCTCCGTGTTGCCGAAGAAGGTGTCGAAGAGCTTGCGAAAAGCTTGACCCATGGCCACGAAACAATCAACACAATACTCGAAGAAAAAGAAAAAGGGAAAGTTCGACCTCTCTCTCTATTCGTCTGCGTGGGTGTTGGACGAAGTTGATCGGGAGCTCATCGTCGACGAGAGAGAGAGAGAAATCAGTAGGGGATTCGATCGATTTTTAGAGAGAGAGAAACAACACCCGCGTGACGTGAGCCTTGGCCTGCCTGGCAGAGAAATTTGCTGAAATAAAAGAAAAATAAAATAAAATTATGGTAAAGAAAAAGACCGCATCCAACCAAGAAAGGTCGTTGTGAATAATATGTGAATAATAGTCTGTTCCTATTTATATACAGTATTTTTATTATTTATTTGTAAAAATTTTATAAAGTGAATAATATTACTACATTAATTTTTTTCTATAAAATAAAAGCATGTGAAGGAAGGAAGAGTAGTGAGAGACTCATGGTAGAGAGAGAGGAAAGAAGAGGAAGAGAGAAAGGAGAGGAAGAAGAGGGGAAAAGTAAAGAGAGTTATTTTTGTACTTTTATTATTTCAGATTATAATGAAAGCATCACTGCTGCTTCGAGGATGTAATTCAGTCACACTCACAGTAGAAGAACTTCGTAAATTTTGTGTCTTGTTTATTCTACTGCACATACCTTCGAATTTACAACAGTTACAGCGTGCTCTTTATTTTCTGGATTGATTGGATGCAAAAAAAGAAAGACCGCATCCAACTTTTACATTTAAATTTAAATATTTATTTTATGTTGAAACAAAAATGCAAATACAATGATGGTAAATTAGAATATTCCGTCCATTTCTCCTCCTCTGAATCACTGAAAGAAGGAAAGACAAGTGTTGTGAGAACGGCCGTTTTTCTTTTGCTAACTGCTACATAGTTGTAGGGTGGGTTTGGTACGGTTATTGTACCAAAACTTTCCTATCAATTGCCACATCTAACTTTTGATACCGCGAAATTGATTATTATTATCGTACTAAATTTTTAGTATATCATATTTTGATGTGACAAATAATTTAATTGGTATGATATGGTTATTGTATTGCCACTTTGTTGTTCGACAATTTTTTTAGGCCAAAATCTATTTATTTTCAAGTCTAATATTATGCCCTTAGTACATATTTTGTATCTCTAAAAGTGATTATTTGTTACCCTTGTTAAAAGTTGAATTTAACAAATTGCATAAAGAGACAGGCAGAAAATTGTAGATGTGCTGCAACTCTCCAATGAACATTTAATTTACACATTTGAATAAGAGTTGTTAGATCTCGTTAGGTTAAATAATCTAACAACTCTTATTTAGATATATAACTTAAATGTCACTTTTGGTGTATACTAGAGAAAGTCTCTCGTACCTACGGATCTTGAATGTCTATATTTGCACATTCTGAGTATCAAAAATGAAAGATGAAATGCGGGTAATTGCAAGATGTATAAATGTAGAGGCTTGAATCTCCTTCCGTAGTACCTTAATAAAATTTTCAATTTAAACTAGTAGAATTAGGAAATTTTGTAATCTAGTTTAACAATCATCTATGCAACCGTATAAAATTGAGACATATTTATATTATAATTAGAAGAATAAGGAAATTTTATTTCCTTCTCATTTCGAAAGTAGAATAAATGAGAAGTTTTCTTTTCCAGATAAACCTAAAATAAAGGATGAAAAAACATATAAAGTCTGGTTCAAAGTGAACCTTAAAACACATGTCTTGTTATTTTGAGGATAATTTTTTCAACATGATCGGTACACGGAGTGGTACACCATATGTCGCTATACAAATTATCGGATATGTATGTTAAAAAGTAATAATTTAAAAAATAAAAATTTTCACCACTTATATAAAAACACATGATGTACCCTCCGTGTTCTGATCACAACGAAAATTTATCTTCTTTGAGCAGGCTCCGACTATACTGCTATGTTGATGGAATAGTGAATGTGGTATGGAAAGGTGTCGTGCTGTAGTGATCTGTTTCAGCTCATCGTTGAACCTTCTGCTTCAATCTTTTGCATGGCAGAAGTGGTGTGCAACCTTTGCATTTAAATGGTCCTTCAGAACATTCCTTCATAGTGACTCATCCACGCTTGGCAGCTTCAGTGTAAAGAGCCAATATCTGATCAACTGTCATGAGGTATTTGCCGGTGGAATTCATGACCTTGACAGCAGTTGATGATGAGTACTCGAGAGCAATGCTAAGTAAGCAACCAGGCAAAGGTCCCAGACAGTCAGTTCCAGATTGGAGGTTTGATTTCAGTTCCGACTGACTGCTCTTTTTCTCCTTGTCCTGCAGGCGTGGACAAGGACAAAGACAAAGACAGAGAGAAACCATGATATAGGATACTCTTGCTTTCAACCCTAATGATATGAGATACTCTTGTTCTTGGTGTGGCTTATTTGCTGAGGTATTATCGGGGGGAAATAAAGCTGAGTATTTCGAGAGGTTATGTTGAGGGTGCCTTTTCGAATGCGAGAAAGGGTTGAGCATTTTTGCAGGTTTGCCTGTCCGTGGAGGAGGGAGGTTGACGTATATAGGGATTTTCCAATAGCAAGTAGTAATGCTATTCCTTTACCCTTCTTGGTCACAGTAATGTAGTGGGAGCTGCTAGCTTCACGTGTTTTAACTTTGTCAGAGCACTTTGAAAAAGATGTATGTGGTATTTAGAAAGCTGATGTTGCGTGTGAAGATTACAGACAAGCTTTATCTAAGGAAATCTGGCTCTCGAAGTTCTGAGAGCTGTGCCTCTTCGGTTTTTGAACAAGCAATCCTATCAGGGATCTGGCTCTCAAGATTCAGAAAGCAGTACCGCTTCGGTTTTTGAGAAAGTAATTATGTTGGGAGTCTTTTCTCGAATGTGAGTAAAGGTTGGACGTTCCTGCCCGTCTGTCTTGACACGGAACACGGAAGTTGACACACATAGGGACTTTCCAGTTGTTAAGCAGTGGTGATGTTCCTTTACCCTTGTGGGTAATAGTAAGGTAGCTGGAACTTCGAAATTCTCGTGCCTAAACTTTCACATCAAAATTTGCTATGTGAGCCTCCACGATCAGCGGGTCGTTGTGAGGGTAGATGATACCTCTTTCTTCCTCAGGGTAGAAACATATTGGATCCCAGTTAGGTTTTTGATATTTGCCTCCCCTGATGTCTTCCACGTGAAACAATTGATGGCCATGTCTCAAAGTTCGTTCACTGTTTTTCATGGCCCTATTGGAAGATTCAGACATGGGTGTGCCGCCGCTTATGGAGTATATCACATTCACCTGGCGTTGGTTATGATTATCCCTTGGAGGGTGAATGAGGAACTGATCAATTTTTCCTTCACGTGCCAAAGCTTCGATATGATCACGGAGGATGATGCACTTCTCGCCGTCATGGCCATTATACTCGTGGTAGCAGCAAAACACGCCCGTGTTCTTCGTGGACTTGTAATCTGGCTGTCTTGGTTTTGGGTTTGGTATCAGGTGAGCTATACTGGGGTAGATGGCCGCGCATGTAGCGTTCAAAGGTGTGTATGTCTCATACCTCGGGGTAGGGCCTATCTTGACACGCGATTGGCCCACTGCGTTGACTGCCTGGGGATGGGTGTTATTGTGACGATATCCTGAGTTATCGCGATAGTGCCCCTTATTCTTTTTATTAAAATGAGATTGGTGAGGATGTAAATCTTTCCTTTTGCCCTGGGATTGATATGTCTGCTGACTTGGCGAAGCATTAAATGAGGCAGGGGGTGTGTTGCTACCATTTGGAAGGTTGAGGTCTTCTCATTCGGTTAGATCTGGCCTCCACTCCCTACTTGCTGATAAGGGGTGACTGTAGGGGGTTTCCCTTGATATGTCATTGCCTCGGCAGAGGCATGGTTGTAAGCTTGTGCCATCACCTCAGAGTAAGTCTTCCAAGTGTTGGCATTGATCATGTACTTGAAGAAACAGTCACGTAAGCCTGCCGTGAAGGCCTTGAGGGCGGTCTTGTCATCTACCTCAGCGCAACGGGAATACTCATGGCTGAAGCGGCCAGCATACTTTCGTAATGACTCGTCCGGCTTCTGGCGAATAGTGTACAAGTCATTTGCGGAATGCAAGCGATCAGTCTGGAAGATGTGTTGAGAGACAAACAACTTCCTCAACTCTTCAAATGAGTCTACCGTCTCGGGTGGAAGACGGCAATACCAGTTTAAAGCTCCGCCAGAGAGGGTGGAGGGGAAGAGGAGGCACCGTTCTTCATCGGTGTGTCTCCGATATACCATGGTGGACTCAAAGAGGTTAAGGTGTTCAATCGGGTGTTCCCTTCCAGTATAGAGTTGTAAGTCAAGCTTGCTTTGTCTTCACTTGGAAGGGGTGTTGATGATCCTTCTTGTGAGGGGGCCATGCCTGGGTTGGTTCCAGTCAGGTATCTCAGCTTGACGTTCAGCCTTCAACTTGTTTACCTCATCCAGGAGCTGTAGGACAAGGGGGTCCTGAGTGGAGTCGTGCACCACTGAAGTTTTCTTCCGTAAGTCCCTATCGCCTCTTGGAAGTAGGAAAGTTTGTTCAAGATAGCGTGATTTTTCCTTGGACTCGCCACACTGACTTCTAGAGTGAGTATGTCAGAATATTTCTGAGTCCCCTGTACCTTCATGTTCTTCTGGGACCTGTTGCCCATTCCCTAGATTGACTGTTGGCCTGGGTCGTGGGAGAGGACCGAGTCTTTCAGAAACTCTTGGGTCATTGATCTTCGAGCTTATGTGGATGGGATTCTCTCGACGTTGCTTTAGGAAGTCTCGACAATCGCGATAGACGACTTTTGATCCTTCCACTCCTTCTGTGAGGAGGTGCTTTCCTCTACTCCTTCTGCTTCGGGTTGAAGCAGCTGGGTTGAGAGAAGTCTCATGTTGATTATCACATTGATGTGTAGCTCGATCCCTATCAGGGATGTCCGTGTTGGATATCGGTGACCCTCCGTGTTGGGGGGCATTCAGATGATTGTTGACCTCAGCAGGGGCAACGAGCTTGTGTGCTTAAGCATGCCTAGTCTCGTGAAGCATCTCGAAAAGTTTTTCATACTGCTCCTGGAGGACCTCGTTCCTCATCACTATCTTGTTGTTCTAAGCTTCTAACTCATCGACTTTAGCTTGAAGAGTAACTCTATTTCCTTCCTGCTTTCGTTGCTTCATACTAGGTCCAATGGAGGTGTCATTCTGTGTGTTATGGCTTCTTTCGCTCCCCATGTTGGAAAGAGATGCTTGGGCAAAAGAAAGTGTACGAGCGGTGGAAACCAGCTTGACAAAGCTGAAGAGAGTGAGAGTAAGTGTCTTTCCCACAGACGGCGCCAAATGTTGATGCACAAAATCAGCGAGGACTTTGGTACAACAGAAAGTGTCAGGTTTGTGACCTTCGCTTGGTTGCTTCGATCACTAGTGAAGATAAGTACGTAAATGAATAGGGACAGGGAAGCAAACACAAGATGTACATGGTTCACCCAGATTGGCTACGTCCACGGAGTAGAGGAGTTCTCATTAATTGTGAAGGGTTTACACAAATACATAGGTTCAAGCTCTCCTTTTATGAGTTCTAGTGAATAGTGTAGTACAAAATGACATTAGAGATTATTGTGGGAGAATGATCCCTATTTATAGAAGAGAGTTTCTAGTTTTGTTCTGACATTGACATGTGTCGTGTTGTGATTGGCTTCTGATGTTGACACGTGTCGCGCTGTGGTTGGCTTCTGATGTCGACACGTGTCGCATTGTGATTGACCTCCTGGTTGAAGGGAAGCTCTTCTGGGTCATTGACGGTATAACGTTGATCGGTGCTCAGTAGTTTCGGGATTGGTCAAGTATGGTACAAACAACTGCAATAAAATATTGCCACCCCTAGGCCCTAGTCAAATAATAATGAGAACTTTAACGAAAAGCTCTCAGTACTGTTTACTTTAACAAAAAACCATATTTTTACACTAAAAAGTCAATCATGATACTATTCATTTTACCATTTATTTTATCTTTTATCTTTAAAACTCAAAGTTTTCAAACAATTTTCATTAGTTTTCCTAATAATAATTCGGTGGGCTCCCCGGGGTTGTAACGTGCATTGTTATTTGCTAATATCTAATGTAACATCCCACATCGATAAACGGAAAGGGGGTGATGTGCCTTATATGTACATGCCCACCTTCATATAGCACAACGCTTTTTGGGAACTCACTGATTTCGGGTTCCATCGTAACTCCGAAGTTAAGCGAGTTCGGGTTGAGCATTCCCACGATGGGTGATTAATTGGGAAGTTCTCATCTGAGTTCTCAGAAAAAAAAACCGTGAGCCTGTGGCCGTGACCCAAAGCGGACAATATCGTGCTAAAATTGGGATGCGACATCTAACGATAACCATAGCAACCGGTCGGTCACCTCGTGCTGACTACCTTCCCGTCAGTTATTGCAGGTGGTGACTGGTGAGTAGCGCATGCATTTCTTGTTAACGACAAAGCAACGACTATATGAAGTCCTGTCCACTCCAGTTCAGTCCAATCCAACCTTAGCTAACTCCATTATTCCATCAGTACTGCTACTTCTATTCAACTCCTTTTCTAATTAGCCTTGTAAGCTGTAATGGCAGCGCCGCTGCCCATCGAAATCGAACCATCATCAACTAATGGTCAACCCCATCTCGCCGACGCCTACAACCGTCACGTGGCTGTCGTAGCCTTCCCTTTCACTAGCCATGCAAGCGCCTTGCTTGAGACCGTGCGCCGCCTAGCCACCGCCCTTCCAAACACTCTCTTCTCGTTCTTCAGCACTTCAAAATCCAACAGCTCTCTCTTTTCCAACAACAGCATTGATAACATGCCGCGTAACATAAGGGTGTACGATGTGGCTGACGGGGTGCCGGAGGGGTACGTTTTCGTGGGCAAGCCGCAGGAGGACATAGAGCTCTTCATGAATGCCGCACCGGAAAACATCCGGAGGAGCTTAGACGCTTCCGTGGCGGACATCGGGAAGCAGATCAGCTGCTTGATCACCGACGCCTTCCTTTGGTTTGGAGTCCACTTGGCTGACGAGTTGGGAGTGCCTTGGGTCACTTTCTGGATCTCCGGACTCAAATCCCTCTCCGTTCATGTGCATACTGATCTCATCCGCGACACTATTGGAACTCAAGGTGCGTACGTTATACTTACACTTACTTATCCTGTCTTTAAAGTTGAAGCATTGAGAATCCTTGTTCGTTTGGTAGTACTTATCGAGAAAGCATTTTTCTTTCAAGTGTTTATTGGAAAAGCACTTTCCAGTCACAAATAGGTGCTTCACTTTTCCTTTTTAAATATTTCTCTCATTTATCAACATACATAATGGTTATTTATTACTTGGATTTCAAGTTTTAAGTATCGAATGATTTCAATTTTAGGTTTTAGTATCAAATTTTGTGCATTCAGGCATTACAGGTCGTGAAAACGACCTCATCGTCGACAAAAATGTTAACATCCAAGGTCTCTCCAATGTACGAATCAAAGACTTAGCGGAAGGAGTCATTTTCGGAAACTTGGACTCGGTAATTTCCGGCATGCTACTTCAGATGGGACGGCTCCTCCCCCGTGCCACCGCAGTTTTCATGAACGGCTTCGAAGAATTGGAACTCCCCATACCAAACGACCTAAAGTCCAAAGTCAACAAACTCCTCAACGTAGGACCTTCCAACGTAGCATCCCCGCTGCCACCGCTGCCGCCATCAGATGCTTGCTTGTCATGGCTAGACAAGCAACAGGCTCCATCCTCCGTCGTGTACATAAGCTTCGGGACAGTGGCGAGCCCAGCGGAGAAGGAGCAGATGGCAATAGCGGAGGCCCTGGAAGCCACCGGAGCACCCTTCTTGTGGTCTATCAAGGACAGCTGCAAGACACCGTTGCTGAACGAGTTCTTGACAAAAACATTGTCAAAGCTGAACGGGATGGTGGTGCCGTGGGCTCCACAGCCGCATGTACTGGCCCACGATTCGGTCGGAGCCTTCGTGTCGCATTGCGGCTGGAACTCGATAATGGAGACTATAGCAGGACGGGTGCCCATGATTTGTAGGCCATATTTTGCAGACCAGAGGCTTAATGCAAGGATGGTGGAGGAGGTGTTTGAGATCGGGGTAACCGTGGAGGATGGAGTTTTTACCAGGGAGGGGCTGGTAAAAAGCTTGGAAGTGGTTTTGTCGCCTGAAAGTGGGAGGAAATTCAGAGACAATATAAAGAGGGTCAAACAACTGGCAGTAGAGGCGGTTGGACCACAAGGGAGCTCCACTCGGAACTTCAAATCGCTGTTGGACATCGTATCAGGATCCAATTATCAAGTATAGTACGGGGACCATAAATATGTAGCACTAAAAATACACACCAGCTGCAATAGCTGTTCGTTGCTCAATAATAATGTAGCACGCTACGATCTACCCTACGAGCGGACATATTTAGGGCGGGTTTGGTATTGATGTGCTTTGAAAAAAAGATGCTGTGAGAATAAGCGGTTGTGCTGTGAAAATAAGCGGCTGTGAAATAAATCAGCAGAGTGTTTGATAAACGTTTTTGTAAAAGTGCTTTTGGAAAGAAAAAAAACAGTCTAATAGTGTGTCTTTTCATTAAAGAAGCACTGCAGCTCCGTGTGCTTTGAAAAGAACCAATTTTCCAAAGCTACAAATAACAGCTTCAGCTTTTTCTTTTGATTTCAGCTTATTCTCACAGCAGCTTCCAAAATAAGCTTTTTTTTTTTCAGTTTATCAAACATCTAAAACCATCACAGCTTTTTTTCATGGGTGCTTTTTTTTTTAAGCACCTCACTCCCAAATTAGGTCTTACTTATATGAAACGAGTACCGAAATTAAGCTACCAATGTTTTTCCTACATTTATTACTACACCGCCTTCACCTGCGGTTATAACACATGGGGTCTAAGAGTGTTCTCCAAATTCGTGACTTTCCTCGTTTCAAGTAAATAAACTGGTCACTGACATATCTCGTTTGTGTTTATAGAGTATAGGCCAATTGAGCTTTGCCCGTCAACAAGTTTGATTGGGTTGAAACTTTGGGTCTGAGATGCTGCAAGTGAGTAATTCGCGGGAAGTACAAGTGGATTACTCATTCAGCTACAAAAGCAACCAAGAAGAAACGAAGGAAACATCACACGAAACAAACTCTTGAGAGAGGATTTCTAAATCAAATAGAAACATACATTAAACACAATCGAATTACACAGATTTCACTCCTTAACATGTAACAAAAATATCTACGCTAAACCTCATGAAATCGACGAGGCAGCCACGTTCTATTGAAAACTAGAACAAACAAACAAAAAATATGAGGAACTTCTGCACAGCACAGCGAGGTTAGTGTATATTACACCTAAGACAAATAACATAAATGTCTTTTAAAGAACCCCGCCTGGCGAGTTCGAACTACAAAAGATTAATTTTGATCCAGCAAAACCTTTCTCAATATCTTCCTCCCTAAATCAGCAGCACCTAAATACTCTACAACCATATCCCAATAGACTTCGAAGGCAACAGTGCAAACAGCACACTAAAGGCGCCTTTGCGATTCAACTAATTTTGAACTAAGAAACAAAATGGAAACTAATTAGGGAAAAAATGCTGTATTTGCGCTGGAAGAATCTGAGGATTGAATCAACACGCCCATTTGCATCTCCATCAATTGTCCTCAAAATTAGCTTCATCATTAAACTTAGCCTCCTAGGAATCAACCATTTCGTCCTGTATTTCATTGGGGGCAATAAGCCCAGGAATAGATAGCATTCGTTGCCGATCTTTCTCTCTCTGAGCAGCAGCCTCCTCTGCATAAAGATCTTTGTTGTCCTGCACAATCACAACATTCCGTTTAACATCCAGATTACCCAAATCCCAGCAAAAGAAAAATTGGAAGAGACGTTGGGGTTCTACGGGAACAGAAGATGCAACATTTAACATCAACATAAAAAATTAGTCAACGTAAATGAATACCAAATCTTCCATGACTGAATAGGCAACAAATAAAAAATGCGCATCTCTGAATTGGGAGTCTAAACTGATGCTTATGGTATCCTACCTGTGCTGAAAATTCTTTGGATTGCACTAGGAAGTCTCGGATGTGATTTTTAAAAGTGGGTACGTCAGCAGTTGATTCAAATAGTCCATTCACAAATTGAGTAACCTGGCAAGAAAACCTTCAGGTAAGTGATATACATAGAAAAGAAAGAGTAAGACAAACATAATAGTATCCATGCAAGTGGCCCTTTACCACACTGGTGGAAAGAAGTTGAGTCTTTGCATGATGGCGTGGGTTCAAACCCCATCGGTGGCTAATCTAACACCTAATCTAACAAAATCTATCGTTTGACATAAAAAACATAATAGTATCCATTGTTATATACCTCCGTCCCAGTCATGTTTGGGAATGAAGTACTCAAAAGCTTTATTGTATATTCACGAACAAACATTCCATTATTAGGATATGGATAAGGAACAGCTGCAACATCCCACAAAGGCTCCTTCAACAGATCACTTCCCACCTGTAACCAGTAAATATTTAACTTTTAATTTATGCAAGCTTTATGAAATCAAGAAAATAACTAGAAGGTATGACAAGATACAATACCAGGCTGAACAAATGTTGGAGAACCAAGACATGCAACTTGAACCCAGGTTTATGAAATGTATCAGTCAAGACAGCAAATATTTCTTGCTCAATTGTCAGAAAGTACGTACGGTAAAACTGATTACAGAACTCTGATTTCTGTCAAATCAACCAAGACAGTGTGAGCTTAAATGGCATTACAATATGACAAACAAAAATACGCACAACATCACACCTGAAAGTTTCTCAGCATTTCCAACAACAGGTTCAGCCCAGTTTCAGCAATATTTCTTTCGGTGTGCCGAAACGCCCATATAATTGAATCCATGACAAGCTTTAGTTGCTGAAGTAAACAAAAAATATGCAAACATTTGATCGTCTGTTTGTGACAATTATAAAAATTTAAGCAGAAGCCAATAATCACTCATATCTAACCAGCTCACATTGACAGTAATGGAAGACAAACAAGTGGGAAATATTTAAACATGTACCGGACTCGACAATCGAATCAATGCAGCAAAGCAGTGTGCAGCAATGGCACGAAGTAAAGAAAAGAACTTCAAACGATGCTCTGGGTAATCTTCAAAATTTTTTGTGATCATCTGCAGGGGCACAGAATAAAGACATGTAAAGAAAACAACTAAGGTACAAATAAAATTTTCTAATTTTAGCCATCACTCCAGAGGTTCTTCGGTATCAGATTCAGACCTCAGGGGATGCAACATAAACATAACACCAACAAGAAGATGCAAAAATCCCTCTTCAGCAATGCATTATGGAGAAAGGGATACCGAATAAGAACTTGGGAAGAATACTAACATGTTCAGCCAAATCAAATGCATGTGGCATCCATATGTATGGCAGTTTTATTAATATTGCTTTGAACACTAATAAAAAAAAAAAAAATCAATTTTTTTCTGGACCATTGCCAAACAAGCCACATCCTTACCTCCAATGTGCACTGGAAAACAGCTTCAAATATTCTTGGCACATCATCTATCATTGCACCCTTGTACCTATAAACAAGGGATACAAATATATGCAATCAGAAGAGAGTAAAGAAAAAAATAACAAATTCCTTAGCCAGAAGAAAGATGTAGGCAGCAGCTTACAAGTTGTTTTAGTTGGCTGTGGTTTTTAGCCAGACGGTATCATATCTAGCAAGTAATAAAAGCAAAATATACAAGATAATGAAAGAAAGGTTACATACTTATTTATGATAGTGGCAAAAAGTGACAAAACCTCTGACTCTCTAGCATCAGGCAAATTCCTAGCATAGTCGCCTAGGACTGGATCCAACATGGGAGGCACAATTTGTTTTCCAATCTGTGGTTGGTCTTCAGCCTTGTCCAAGAATGTCTCAATCAACTTGAGAGTCTCCCTCTTCACCGACCTGTTGAGAAATAAATCAAACATGGTACTTGAGGTTTAATTGTTAAATTGAAAAGGAATTTGTACAAAAGGTCCTACCGTAGAAGTTTCACATAGGATGTTTTAGAAGCAAAGGGACCCCCTTCCGCAATGTTACTAGATACAAGCTCACTGTACATCCTGTTCAAAACAAATAGAGCCGAGCATAACTATATTAGTGAAGAAAGAAACCAAATTAAACATCTGAAATTCTTTCTACGCCTGAAAACATTGGCCATACCTGTACACATTAAGCATGTCCAGAAAGATCATTGAGATCTGAGACAGGAAAAACGTCCCAAGGGAGCTCGCAACGCTAGTATTTGTCTGTAAATCAACAACAGAATTACACCTGGTACTCACAGTGTGGCTAAAGCCACAAGAACAATCACATTTGATATTGATATGACACAGTAGGATGAACAATCATTGCAAAATAGAAGTAAAGATTTCACCAAGTATGTAAAGGGAAAGGATAAAGGGACCACATATAAGGCCCACTTAGGATGCAGTAAAGTTCACAGAAAGATGCTGTCTACAAAGACAACGGCTCACCTAACAGAGACTGCAGAATCTAACATAAACAAGATCAACTGACAACAGAACAGTCAGAAAAAAGAGAGAAGAGAAAACAAGATACAATAAAGCTATATCAATAAAACATCATCTCCATGATCCATGATATGGTTTAACAACTATAGAATACCTAAATAACAGAATTTGAAAAATCATACCTGTAATATATTAAGCACGGTCCGAATTACCTCCTGATCCTTCAGGAAATCAACACTTAAGCGTGCTTGCCCTATGATCTCGGCCCATTTCTGGTGAACAAGCAAATATAATAAGCTACAAGCTATTTTGAGGACTTGCAAGTAGTCACGCACATTGCATGTATATCCAAATATACCTGATTTGGGAGACTCATCAATCTCTGTAGATATTCTTCTCTCTTCTTGGGATCAGACTCTGCTTGAATCATATGACCAACCTATGATAAACAAAAATGCAATTGTTTATAACAAATTTTTATATATAACTAAGTAGAAAAAGGGACATAAGAAAGGCATACAGCTTCATAGAAAGTATGAATCTGGTGAGGCTGAAGATCGCCAACAGTATTCGGCAGGCTTGTCAGGAGTTCAGACACAAATGGTTCATTTTCTCCAACCTGATAATCACAAAAGCAGTCAATGAAACACACAATACAAAATTACTTTTCTTCTTGGTCTCAAAATACACAATTTCAACTTCGATGACAAGAACAATTCTAAAATGCCAACTTATAAGAGAGAATACCTGTACAATAACAAATTTACGCTTGCACTTTTGAACAATTTTCAAGAATGTGTCA